TGAGTTTAAGCCACCGGGTCCGGGACTCAAACTGCAGTAGACTACGTGGGAGTCCAGCAACATAGCCATTATGCTAACTGCTGGTGCCGAGGTGTTTTTTTTTTTAATATATTTTTTAAGAATTGTTTTATTTAACTTTATTTTAAAATAAGGGATAGAGCAAGAGAGGGTAAGAAATAAGCCACCAGGTCTGGAACTTGAACCACAGTCGGCCATGTGGGAGTCCAGCACCTTTAACTACCATGCCACCTGCCAATAATTCTTTAAAAAATATATATATAGTGTAAGGTACTCAAACCTCACTGCTCTGCATGTCTACAAGACTAGGAAAGCAATGTGAGTACTGCTTTGGTGGTTACGAATAAATTTTAGCAAGAAGGTGAATTTGCGAACCCTGAATCCAAGAACAATGCAGATCGCCTGTGTGTGGAGAGGAAAAAACGGGTGAGAACAGAGTTCTTAAATTTCCTCTCTCTAGAACCAGCGTGCCTTCCCAGCACGAAGGCTCCTTGCCCAAAACACGAACAGGGACGAGGTGACCTCTTGGAGCTGTGTGAGAGGCAGCTCTCCCTGCAGTTGTCAACCCGCAGCAGGGGACTTCTGGCATTCTGGACACTGCTGGTTGTTATGTGTGTGTGAGGAGGGCCTCAACACAATGAGACTGTCTTTACAAAAACGGTCAATGGTGTGGACTGGCAGGTGGCGTGGTGGTTAAGGTCCTGGACGCCCATGTGGCTGGCTGCAGCTTGAGTCCCAGACCTGGAGGCTTGCTTTCTCCCCTTCTTTCTCTTTCTCTGTCTCTCTATGGTGAAATAAAAATGAATAAGTAAATAAAGTTAAATTTTTTTTGGGGGAGAGGTTTTTTGCTATAGGGCACGTGTGCTCACCAGAAAGATGGAGAGAGACAGAAAGTGAGAAACCACACCCCAGGGGGGATGGCCACGCCGCAATCCCTTCTCCTCCATTTTCCTCTCGGGATATGGGGCACGCGCCCGCATGTGCCCAGTGTGAGTTTAAGCCACCGGGTCCGGGACTCAAACCGCAGTCAACTACGTGGGAGTCCAGCGACATAGCCATTATGCCAACCACTGGTCCCAAATAAAAAATTTTAAAGAAAAAAGGTCAATGATGCCGAGGGTGAGAAATTCTGCACTAATGAATCTATCAGTCGTGTTTACTTGAGCTTACTCAATGGACGGGCAACCGTAAACCCAAATGTGACTGAATTGTCGGGAGTCTTGATGTGTTTTTGTATTTTTTTAAATGCAAAAATACGTCATGACCTTTCCGACAACCCAACACTAAAAATACTACTCACTCTGAGTCATCTTTTTCTCTGCCTTTTAGACTTGGACAGAACAGCTGGAAGCACTGGGTAGACCACAAGAGGAAGTACTTTGCAAACCAGTGGTTTCAAATGCAAATGTTGCAATTTATACACATGCTGGCTGTTGATGATTTGGGTAAATAAACTGCTGAAATGATTTTAATTTTGCTTTACAATTTAGTTTTGAAAAATACAAAATATCAAGCATTTATAAAAATCAAGAAGCCTCTAATCTTAACGAAAGGATTAGAAATCACCAGAAAATCCTACCACTACAGGGAGGAGGGCTGTTGGCTGGGCTCTCCCTTTCAGTCCCTATTCCAGACGCATCTACTGGAGGGGGGCCAGGGTCTGGGCCTCAGTTCTAGCTCAGTCCCTCACTGGCTGGGTAGTATAGGACACGGTACCATCTTTCTTCCTGTTCTTTGCTTTTAATTGGCATAGACACAGCAATGGGGGAGGGAGAAAGCACCCCCAACGGGCCATGGTCATGCTGCAATCTCCTCTCTGTCTCTATTTTGTGATATTTTGGACACACACGCACCTGTGCTCAGCATGTTTCTCAAGCCACTGGAGCTAGGGGTCGAACAGACTGGGCATGGGGGGCCCGCTCCCTTTAACCACTAGGTCATGGGCTGGCCCAGGGCACATGTGTATATGCCTCTGCCTTCACATGTGTTCCACTGTTTCTCCCACTTACCACTCATCCCACGGATCTAAAGAAGTGATACGAGAAGGCTAAGAAATAAGGCTCACACCTCCACACTTCTCTCTTGTGGCTGTCATGTCCTCCCTGGAAACATGTCCTACCTTTTCCTTCCCCTCAGAGTGTGCCATGGTATTTATTTATCTTGATTTCCTTCTCCTTAGAAACAGTCTCAACAGGGACGTATTCACCCCTAAAGGTGACCCAGGGGCCGGGCCTGGTGTGCGGCCCAGTGTACTGAGTTGGACTGGTGGAAGCCACACAGCTGACCGAGCTCCAGGTGGCCTCCCCAGGCTGGCCTGAACACATGCCTGGCACAGGTGCCTAAGACCTTGACAGCCTGGAGGGCTGGGAAAAGGGAACTGTGCGTGACAGCCACTGTCCGGGGCTCTGGCCTCTCTTGCATGTGTGCTATTCTGAATGAAATAAACAAAAAATGACGCAGGAACAAATTATTTCACATAAATGGCTTCATTCAACCAAAAAGGTCACAGTTACCTGGTTATATTTACTTCAATAACATGATCCCTGTAATGCATTAATGAGTCCTTTCAAAAGTTTCTAAATTTATTTATTTTAATAATTATTCATTTGTTTTTAACTTATTTATTCATTTATCTTAAATTTTACCAGCGAGAGAAAGAAAAAGAGAGGAAAGTGAGAAAGCTAGCCACCAAGTCCGAGACTCGAACCACGGCTGGCCAAGTGGGAGTCTAGTGCCTCAACTACCACCCACCTGCTGGACTCAAAATGAGTCCTTTTTTTTTTTTATAATTCTTTTCTATTTAACTTTTAAAATTTTATTTATTTCTATTTCACTTATTTAATTTGATGAGAGAGAGAGAGAAAGCAAGTCACCAGATCTAGGACTGGAACCACCGTCAGCCACGTGGGAATCCACCCCGCCATCTGCTGCCCCAAATAAGTCCTTTTTGATGACTGTATTATCACAAAAGTTGGAATGAGCATGCACCGAGGTACAATCCACTTTATAAAGTGATTCCAGCACCATGGATCAAATAGAGTAAAACCCAGGAAGGAGATAATCGCCATTCTCAACACACTGAAGGGCCACCGGGTGCAGGACTCCCACATGGGCGATGCGAGTATGAGACCCAGACCCCGGAGCCTGAAAATCACGCAGGGGGAGAAGGGGGTGCGGAGTGGCCATCTCCAGGGCAGCGAGCTCTCACAGTCTCTTCCTGGGCCATACCGCAGAATCCTAAAGAAGCAACCCCACAACCACCCCATCGCCGGGGGGCGCTTTACCTTGTCCAGGTGCAGCCGAGACAGCAGCACGGGGCCGACGGAGCGCGGGCCCTGGTTGTAGGAGGGGCGGTACCGGCCGGGGGCCCTCCAGTCGGGCAGCCGCTGCTGGGCCCGCCGGGCGCGGGGGGGGCGGGGG